AAGGTTGAGCGTGGGCAGGGGGTCATTATTCTTAAATTTCAGCCTCCTAGACTCCGTGGTTCCCGAATAACTTTCACGGGGCCGTACGTGTTACCCGAGGATAAGGGAAGGCTGAATTTGAATGGGCAAGGTTGAACATGGGCAGTTGGTCATTACCGTAAAATTTCAGCCTCTCCGCGGGTACGGGGAAGCTGAATTTAAATTTGCGGGGTCACACGTGGGTGGGGAACGTTACCCTACATTTTTAGCTTCCTAGCTTTTGTGGTTCCCGAGTTGAAAGTTGCGGACAAGTTGCTGCGGACACAAACACACACACACAAACACACACAGACAACCCCGTAACAATATGCGTTTTGTACTGCTGTTGCACAGCACAAAACGCAAAAAAGTGCAGAGTTTCCCGAAATGTTCGAAAAAACTTAAAAGTCAGTGAAACCCAACTTCTAAGACATACTAAAAATACCAAGACTGTCTGGGCGATGCTACTGTGCAGCTCCAGTAACTACTCGGGCCACTTTTGAGTAATGCATTTTTCGCAGAGAAAACAGAAAAGGAGTTCGATTTTTGCTTTCTCAAAGTTGAAACAAAAACAAAGCGATCAAAAACATATCGGGAAACAAACCTTGAATTGACCCCGCCACTGTTCAACGGAAACATTCGAAGTTGCAAGCACTAAACATCGCTTATTGACAGTTGTTGCGGCAGTGACACCGACCAGTGTTTTGCCAGCACCGCATGGGAGCACAATAACACCGGAACGAGCACGACTGTTACCGAACATTTTCCGCAAACTTTTTTCTTGATACGGCCTAAACTGCCCATGTTTTTATAATGCTTCTAACGAGTCGATTCATATGAAACGATAAAAGATGCAAAATGAAGCATAACGGTAGAAAATATTTAAACAAGGCTAGTAAAACCGCTGCAATCAATAGACGTGGATACTACCTGCAACATAAAAATGATCAACTAGACGGCGTCTAAAGGAATAATGGCTCACATGTACTAGGGCAGTAAGCACTGTCCGGAAACAGTATGCAGATCAGACCTTAAATGATATGGTAGTACTTGGCAGGGCCTAACAATATGCGCTTTATGCTGCTGTTACAGAGCGCAAAATGCATAAATATTAAAATGAAAAAAGGAAAATACCTAAGTGTCGTGGACGGTTTGAGATCAATGCCAAGGTTTTCGTTGAATGTGTCATTTCGAAAATCATATTCAGCAAGCAGTGGATATTCGAGTTCAATGCAGCGCTTTTGTACGATCTCAATCGATTCCTGTTTGATCTGAACGTAAAACAGCTCAATAATTCGAGAAAGTGTTATACAACCTTTAATAAACTACAGGAATTCGTGATATACGATCCTAGAGAAGAAATGCCTCAGGTTTGACCTCGAAGGTGAGTAACTGAAGATTTTTGATGGCTTCCTCATCCTCGTCATCATCACCATCCAATTTGCCAAAATACGAATCAATATCTTTTGGCACATCGGCCGGGTTTTCCCCGTTTTTCTCCTTACTTTCTTCCTGTTGTTTTTGTGTGCCCGGAATTTGCAGTTTCTCCATTTTCGAGTCCTAAACATTGTATCGGAAAATATTCTTCTAGATTCACAAAGGCATGTGTCTGAACATTTTTCCAATTAACATATTTGAATTGGGGAAATAAATATAGGCAGATTTAGAAAAACCACTAACGAGTTAACAGATCGATGAGAAGCTACACAATTCCTCATAAGCAAAGAATTAGTATGTGGAAGACGATTCGCTTGGAAAATGAAGGAGAGATGAAATTGTCAATGGCCAGAAATAATGCGATAATGAAGGAACAAAAAATTGAAGTATCAAAATATGCAAGCAAAGTCTTTCCCTCTGGGTGGTAAACAACTTCTCAATACGGTCTAGAAAAGGCCGCGTATAGGATGG